GCTGAGGGGCGACGCCAGGACGGCGGGGGAGCCCGAGCCGCCGCCGAGTCCACTCGGCCCGCCCTGCGACTTTGAAAGCAGTGCCCCGGACCGTTCCTTGGAGACGGTGACGCCGCGTCCGTCATCACGCGGGCGTCGGCGCCTGCGTCATCGCGCTGCCTCGGGCTCCGGCTGGCCATTGGCTGTCCGTCAGGCGCTGGGCGGATCCCGAAGCGCTCCGGGGGCTGGCTCGCTCGCTTGGCGCCTTCCGCAGTGCCGCGGCGGGTGTCTGAGGTAGTGTGGCGCAACTTGAATTTTTTTTTTTTCCTTTTTATTTCTTTCTCTTGGTAAGAAACCCGAAGGCTGTGACAGGAGCAGGCACTAGATACACATTCTCGTTGCTCTCCGAGTCTTGGTTTCGCAGACACTACGCGTCTGTGGGGCGTGTGCAGGGAGGGCTGTGGGTCCTGGGGCTGAGGCGACTCGGAGTCCCCTCCAGTCAGCTTCCAGCGGTCGCTTCTAGGTCTGGGAGTAGTGACCCTCCTGCTCCTAGCAGAGAGAGCTGTTGTCGAATATTTAACCCTGTCACGTAGTCGGGATTCAGGGTAGCCTGCAAATCCTGCAGGTACGTCAGAGAGGTTTCTTCAAATCTAAGGAAGGATAAAAAAAAAAAAGTAAAATTTGTGTTGGTGGATAAATTGCCATTCCCAGGTTTAAGAAGTGATGTTGTGCGGGTTTGAGCCGTAGAGCTAGAGCTAAAAACACACAAACACACATACACAAAAATGCTGGAGAAAATGACATTAGCAAAAAAAAAAAAAAAAAAGTACTTGTAGTTTATTACTGGCTTTATAGAGCCTTTTTAAATTGATTATATTTTTATGCATTGAAATAAAGTTTCATTAAATATGTCCTGGTCCTGAGATGGCTCCGTATGGTTATGGCGTGCTTGCCTGATTTGGGATTCCCAGCACCCACGTAAAAAACTAGGCAGGGCCCTGTGTGCCTTTAATACCAGTACTGGGGAGGAGCAGACAGAAGGCTAAGGGGAAAGGGATGCTCTCTGGCCAGCAGCCTAGACAAACTGGAAAATTCCAGGGTCAGTGAGACACTGTCTCAAAAAGTAAGGTCAGGTATGTTAATAAGATTTCTTTTTCTGTGAGAAAATAACTGGTGAAAATAAAGGTTGGGGAAAAAAGGTGAATAGCATTTGAGAATGACACCCCACCTCAACTTCAGTCCGTAAACAGGTGCAAACACACTCTCCCACAGGGACACACATATAAACAAAACAAAAGTCAAGTATGTTCTGGATGAAGTTCTGTTGAATGGCTTAAGAAGTTTTGTAACCTTGTACCCATAAAATAGCATAAACTGTGTTAGCCTTCTTCCTCTAAAAAGACTAGCTTTAAAATGTGTATATGTCTGCAATAACCTCACACAGGTTTAAGTTAGCATTGAGTAAGTAGCTATAAATTTAATATTTACACTCAACATTAATAAAATATATTGGTGTGGAAAAAGCAAAGTGTAACTTCTATATAAAAATGATGAATAGTTTTTGTCTAAATTGAATAGTGAAATAGAACTCTTACATTTGCACTTGAAGTGTTTGGTTTTATACGATCATGGTCAAAATAAACACAAATCATTTGAACTTTCATACATTGAAAAATCTAACTACTAATTTAACTACTAATTATAGTAAGTTGACACTAAACACCTAGTATTCGGCAAAACAAACCTGAAGAATATCCAAAGTTGGAGTTTAAGTAAGCAAATTTCAAATGAGCTCATCACACCAAGGATTTGAGCCCAGAAAGTATGATTTCAATATCACAACCTTTAACTAACATGTAATATAAATTATATCTAATGTTTTAATGTTTATAGTTTCTAGTTGAAATAAATGAATTGCTACTTTACATATTTTACTATAATCTCAGTGATTTACAGTTCATTTTCAAATGGCTTTATGTTTGTATTGCTGAATTATCCTAACCTCTTAAAATAATAAAAGAAGTAAATGCCCAGACTTCAATGGTATGCTTATAAACCTTCAAATGTTTATAGGTCCTCAAAACATTTTCTCTGAAAAATCGGGTTTGTCACTTTAGGAACTCCAAGTCCCTCCCCCTACACGTTTGCTGGGCGGAGCCTAAGAGGGAGCCCTCTTCTTCGACCTGGGCCAGAGACCTCAGCAGAGCTGGAACTGAGAACTTCCAGGTCTGTGTTCTATTGGTATGTCCTTTATCTCCTCTTTAAAGTCTGCCATAAGCTCTAAAAACACCTTACTTTCCCTCTGCCTCCTGCTGGCACAGATTTCTCTGACTTCCTCCTTCCTTGATTTCTTTAAGAAATGTGTGGTGCTGTGCAGCATGCAAACTAAAAAGAAGTATGCACTGTAGAAAAAGTAAAGGATTTTTTTGTAAATAAAGGAACATGGAAATATTCCTTGGAAATGGTTGTATTGAAAAAGCATTCTTTAAAACCTTTCTTTTAAGCTTTTTTGTTTGTGTCCCGAATGAATGCTCCAGGAGTCTGTCTTTTTTTTTTTTCATTTCCTTATATAAAAATTAGAAGAATTGAGTTTTTAAAGTGTAAGTTGAAGATAAGCTAAAGATTAACAACATTGTTTTAAGAAAGCCAGAACAGCTGATAGTAAGATTGTATACTGGGATAGTGAGCTCCTAGGTAATATTAATTCTGACTCTGTAAATGTTTCATCGTAGTGCTAGTTAAGAGATTTAGCCTTAAATTAGACTCTAAAATATTCTCAAATTATTCATTTATAATTTTTTATTGTAACAAACTCACAAATAAGCAGCTGCTAAAAACACACAGGCACACACTCCCAGTCTATACATCGCAGTGCAGTAAACTTCAGACATTAGAGTGGCCATTCTGAAGCCATGGATCTTCATTCAAGTTACCATCAATCCACGTGAGTCTATTAAATGAGTAACAGAATTTATTAAGATATAAATTGAGAAAATACACTCACGATTACAGAACAGAGTAGACAGCAGAAGTCATCTTCTGATCTGACCAGGAGTGAATCCACCTGGAAGGCAGGAGCAGAAGGGGCATGTGACCCTTGTCCAACTCCTTAGAAGAGGTCACATACAATGGCAGGAAGCACCGCCTCCTTTGGGCCGTATAGCCCAAGGTCATGGGTGGAGTAAATACCACTACATTACCCCTTCACTGTCAGTTACTTTTTTTTTTTTTTTTTTTATTTTAGGTTTTTTGAGACATGATTTCTCTGTGTAGCTTTGTGTCCTTCCTGGATCTTGCTCTGTAGACCAGGCTGGCCTTGAACTCACAGAGATCCACCTGCCTCTGCCTCCCAAGTGCTGGGATTAAAGGAGTGCACCACCACTGCCCAGTTACATTTTTATGCATTCTCCACCACTAAAAAAAACCCCAAAAACTATGACAGAGTTTAAGGTAGAAAAACAATTAGCTTATATCCTCTTTGATGACTGTGGCCTTTTGTCTGCACTCTGTCTTTCCTCATCACTTAGTATTACTCTTTGTTTGTCTCCTTTCTGAATGTTACACAATACTCACACTTACAGCTATTTCCATATATACATGTATACATTAAAGGCTATTCACATACTTTCACATATATTATATATAACACATGCTTACAATGTTTACACATATACATGTATATATCTTTTTTCTTTCAGAATTTCATATACACATACAATGATTTTGGTCATACCCCTTCCCCTAACTCTTCCTAGATCTACTTCTGCCTCTTTGTCCCCTTCCAACTTCATGTCCTCCCCCCGCCCCCAAATAATCACTGCATCCTGTTTGTGCTGCTAATATACTCAGGCATATGGGGCCATGACTGGATCTGAGTCAACATACCAGAGGCCACATCTTTAAAGAAAACTAACTCTTCTTCCTCAGAAACCATCAACTGTCAATTGCTCCTTAGCTGGGGGTTGGGGGCATTTGAGTCCCTTTCTCCTTCATGCTGAAATGTTGGCTGTCTTGATCTTGTCCAGGTCTGTGCACAGAGCCACAGCTACCGTGAGTTCATGAGTACAGCAGTCCTGTCATGTCCAGAACACACTATTTCGCTCCTGTTCTCTATGACCTCTGGCTCTTGCAATCTTTCTATCCCTTCTTCCTTAATGTTCCTGAGCCTCAGGAAGAGGGTATGATTTAGATGTCTTATTTTTTTAAATTTATTTATTTTTTAATTACACTCATGATATTTATTAATTACACTCAGGATATTAATTGCATTTGTGGTATTCATTGATTACATTCACAGTATTCATTCAATAATTATATTTATGGTATTCATTAATTACATTAATTGTATTGATTTATTACATTCATGATGTTATGTCCTGATACTACTGTCCATTTGTGGGGTTTTCCCATCGCACAAAACAGAGATTCTGTACTTAGTAAATCATTGATCTATAGTCCCTTCTTCTCTATCTTGAGATAACATCTAATCCTTCTGTCTCTATGAATTTGTATATTCTATATATTTCATGTAATATAATTCTATAGTATTTGTCCTTTTTTAATATAAAAATATTTTATGCACAACTGCAGGAATAATGATACACATATAGCCTGAACATAAAAACAGGTTATAATTTAAAAGTCCAGGGTTATTTTAAACACTAAAATATTTTCTCTGTAGAAAATAGTATAAATTATAACATTTCCCATTTTTAAAATAAGCCCTTTTAAGCAAAATGGTAGATGAATTATACATATAAATATTGATTAGATTCTGGGACACAGAAGAAACCTATCTTCATCTGTTCAGAGAGCTATGTTTTACTTAAGTTGTGTAAGTGAGATTCCTATTCATCTTCCTCTTCACTGTTTGATTTATGGCAGACATTTTTCTATAGGCTAATCCATAATCTAAAAAGATTTTAGCCCCCCTCCTGAAAGTACGGCCATCATTTTCTTTCATCAGCTTGATGCGGTACAAATTCTTATCCTAATAGTGAAATGTTTCACTAAAGCTTACCCAGTGACTGGGTAAAACCAAAACTTATTATAGTAAGTCATCCTAGGGTCCCCCCTGCTAGGTAGCCTCCCTGGGTTTGTGGGTTGCAGTCTGGTTGTCCTTTACTTTATTAGATGTCTTATTATATTAATACATAGCTTTTAACAAGTCATTAATGGAACTGGTACAGTGGGTTTCCCCTGCTTAAAACTGTACCCTCAGGATTTTAGTTGTAGACACCAGAGCAGTATTCACTTGACATATAAATAGCTCCTAGTTCAAGCATTCTAGCTTAGACTGAGAGACAATAAATACATGTCATGTTGTAGAAGTTATGTGAATCGAAGTGGAAGAGTGCAGCAGTGATAGAGGATGGCAGGGAGGGTTACTCTGGGTAAGGAAGGCCATGGACAATTAAGATGTCTGTGCAAAAACCAGAAAGACAGTAGAGGTCAAATCTTAGGAAATGACTAAGGGGGTTTAGAGGAGGTTTAGTTGTCTCTGAGCTTTTGTTAGCTTCAGATTGTTAACAAGTTAGCAAGACTATACATTTTACTTTAATGTTTAAATTGAAAATAGATTTTTCCATATAATATATTCTGATCACAGTTTCCCCTTCCTCTACTCCTCCCAGATCCTCCCTACCTCCCTACCCATCCAACTCCACCCCTTTTCTCTCTCTCTTTAGAAAACAAACAGGCAAACCAAACCAAACCAAAACAACAACAAACCAGAATAGAACAAATGGAAAAACAAGGGAGTGTGAGAAGCACATGCAAGCACAAAGCCAGATAGAAAACCCATAGGAACACAAAATCAGGAACCATATAAGCAAAAGACCAGTAAGGTTAAAAAAAAAAATCCCAGATAAAGCATTATAAGACAAAAACAAACAAACAAACAAACAAAAAACCAAAAACTAAAAACAAAAACAAAAACAAAAAACCAAACCAACCAACCAAACACCTTCCTTGTGGGAGCCCACAAAGGTTTTCTAGTGAGATCTGAGCTTGCTCTACACAGCAGGGTTGTATTAGGGGATGGATGGCTTGATCTCATACATGTACACCATGCTGTTTTTATTGCTATAGCTCTGTAGTACAACTTGAAATCAATGGATGGTGATAGTTCTTTTATTATTCAGAATTGTTTTAGCTAGCGTGTGTGTGTGTGTGTGTGTGTGTGTGTGTGTGTGTGTGTGTGTGTGTGTGTGTTGTTCCTATATGAAGCTGAGAATTGTACTTTCAGAATCTGTGAAGAATTGTGTTGGAATTTTAATGGAGATTGCATTGAATCTGTAGATTGCTTTAGGTAGGATGGCCATTTTTATTATGTTAATCCCACTAATCCATGAGTGTGAGAGATTTTTCCATCTTTTGATTTCTTCTTCAATTTATTTCTTCAGTGTCTTTTTATCATGCAATGTTCCTTCTGTTCTATTTCTATTTTTTGGAATAATTTGAGGAATATTCACATTAACTCTTCTTTGAAGTCTGGTAGAATTCTTCATGGAAACCATCAGGCTTTAGGCGTGTGTGTGTGTGTGTGTGTGTGTGTGTGTGTGTGTGTGTGTGTGTGTGTGGCGGGGGAGACTTTTAATGACTGCTTCTATTTCACTAGGGGTTATAGGTCTATTTAAATTGCTTATCTAATCTTGATTTAATTTTGAAGGGGTATGTATTGAGAAAATTATCATTTCTTTTAGATTTTCCAGTTTGGTAAAGTACAGGTTTTTGAGGTATGCTCTTATTCTCTGGATTTCTTCTGTACCTGTTATTATGTCCCCTTCATTTCTAATTTTGTTATTCTCTTTCTTTCTTATACTTAATTTGGATAAGGGTTTGTCAGTCTTACCGATTTTTGTCAAAAAACAAGTTGTTCTATTGAGTGATTTTTTTTTTTTTTTTTTTTTTTTTTTTTTTTTTTTTTTTTTTTTTTTATTGATTCCAGCCCTGAGTTTGGTTATTCCTTGTTGTCTTCTCCTTTTGGGTGTTATTTCTGTCAGATAAGCTTCTTACTGTAGCTGATGAATCCATTGCATAAAGCCACAAATGGTCAAGATGCGAAGAACAACTGACCGGGAGCTCCCTAACTACCTGATACATCTACAACACAAGCCTACAACAGCTAAGGTTCAGGAAACATAATGGAGAGAGGGCCAGAGAACCAGGACATCTGCTGAGAGATCGTGGCTTCTGGATAGGATAGGGAAGTTCATCCACGAAATCTCAGTGATGACGGTAGCCTAAAGAAAACCTGAACAATGACATTACCAGTTGACATTCAGATGTGAATTGGGGAAATCTCATAAGACCCACCCTTGAAGAGCTGTAGGCAATTAATGCTGAGAGAGGAAGGGTCAGTATTCCCCAGGGATGAGCCCCCTAATTGGTTATTCAATACCAAGTACTGAGCCCTAAAAACATGTATGAGTATACGAACAACACCAAATGGACTCAGCAGGTAGTGTTTATATATTAATATGTATGCATTAATGTATCAATAATTAAAGAAAAAGAAAATAAGAGAGATAATACATGAAAGTATAAGGGCTTGGAAGTAGAAGTGGAACACTGAGAGGGGGAACAAGATACAGTAATAGGGATTGAAGATGATCAGCATATATTATATACGTGTATGAAATGTCATAATAAACCCCATCATTTTGTACAATTAATAAATGTTAATTAAGAAAATGGAAAAACATTTACAGATGATTGGTATACACACACATATAATGTTACCATCTGTTAAAAACAAAGTTGTGTACTAATGAGACGGATGTGTTCATTTTTACACAAAGATTAATCTTGGCTAAATATGGAAAATACATAAACTTGTATAGTTAAGTACATTTACAATTTCTGCAGTGGACTTAGTCATAACATTTTACAATTAATTTTGTATACCACAAATAAACAGAGCAACATCAAGATGAAAAGTCATGAATCTTGGGGCTCCTGGCAGTGGGACTTGGATTTATTCCTGGTACATGAACTGGCTTTTTGGAGTCCACTCCCTATGGTGGGATACCTTGTTCAGCCTTGATGCAGTGGGGAGGGACTTGGGCCTCCCTCAACTTGATGTACCAGACCTTGTTGATACCCCATAGGAGGCTTTACCCTCTGTGAGGAGTGGAATGGGGGGGTGGGCGGTGAGGAGGGGGGAGGGAAGGGGAACTGTGGTTGGTATGTAAAATGAAAAAACAATTTTTTTAATTTAAAATAAAATAATATTGCCGGGCGGTGGTGGCGCACGCCTTTAATCCCAGCACTCAGGAGGCAGAGCCAGGCGGATCTCTGTGAGTTCGAGGCCAGCCTGGGCTACCAAGTGAGTTCCAGGAAAGGCACAAAGCTACACAGAGAAACCCTGTCTCGAAAAAACTAAATAAATAAATAAATAAATAAATAAATAAATAAATAAATAAATAAATAAAATAATATATTTTTTAAAAGTCATGAATCTTTTAGGCTCTAGTTGTTATTTTGGAATGGAATTCATAGTCTACAATTTACCACACCCCAGATGGCCTTTTGACTCCTAGGGTCTCGTTCTTGTCACTCTGTTGGCTCGCTGTCTCCTGTTTGACATCACAATTGTCAAGTAAAGGGCACTGTTAAACGCTGTTAACAAATGTGTTTTGATTTGCTTCTTCAGATGAATTTTAAAATTGAACACACTTGGGATGGTTTTCCAGTGCGGCATGAGCCAGTGTGTGTCAAGCTGAGTCCAGAGGACAAGGGAGTGAAATTGGAGGTCTGTGCTCCATTTTTCAATGACCCTCCAGCTCCTCCTGGAGAACCAGGAATGCCTTTCAGTGAACTGTGGAATTATGAAGGTAGGTAGAAGGATTGTATTTTATTACAAGCATAAATCTTTTTCTAATAACCTCTCAGAGAACTATTATTTTATCTTGCTGTTAGGAAGTAATATGCTTCTGAACAACTGACGTTCAGTTTCTGATCTTGACTACCCATCTATCATTCTGACTCTCCTCCCATTACCAGTGGGCTCAGTGTGCAAGCAGAACAGAAAAAAACGGCAATCCCAAATCCAGGTGCTGCGGTTGCCACCACGTTTCCTCCCTTTACTCTGCTCTAGAAAGAGTTTGTAGTCTCCATTTTGTTTTTGAAGAATCTTTCAATTGCCATCTTTACCTCATAAGCCTCCTGAGTGGAAATTTTAGTGTCTGTTACTTACTGGAGAAATACCGTCAGCCTGAGATTTAATATTTACTTTCTCCTGTCAAGTAATCTCACATATCAAATTAAAGCCCAAAGATATGCCCGGAAATTAAATGGTTTCAGGTTTGTTCTCTGACCTTCTTGTACTATATCCTTATCAAGCTGCAGGGTTCTTTTGGAAATACTGTTCATGATGCCATCCCCATAGATATAAAACACTACATTACAAGAAATTAAGAATTTACCCCAAGATTTCTCACTCCGTATATTAGGATTTATTTACTTGGTTAGCACAGAGCCTTTTTTCTAAGTAATCTCTTTTCCTAAATCCATGTTTTACTTTGAAGCCAGAATGACCTGTCTACATCTCTAAGTGAAAATGTAAATTTACCCTTCAGCTAAAAGTTTTTTAATGCAAAAAAGCAAACTATTCAAGTATGATTTCATGTTTATTTTTAAAATATCTTAAGAGGTACAATCATTTGTAGAAGCTTAGAAAAGGTCTGGCAAGATTTAGACCAAAGTAGAAAGAAAAGGACTTGGGTTTTCACTACATACGTTTTATGCTGTTATAACTATTTACAAGAAAGATGCACTACATTCACAATTCACTAATTTTTAAGACAGCTAATGCTCAACAACCACAGAAATTATAATAAAAATCACCAGTTACAAATAACCAGGATTTTTTAAAAATTAGTTTTTTAAAATTAGTTTGAAAAAAAACATTTCCATGCTTGTGGGGGTCAGGGGACTTGTGGGAGTTGGTTGTCTCCTCCCACTGTGTGGGTTTTGGGGATCCAGCTCAGGTCATCAGGTTTGGCAAGCATTTGACCTGCTGAGCCACCGTACTAACTCCACCACTCTTCATATTTGTTGTGCTCATGTTGTAGACAGGTAGTCACTGGCACACACATACATGCACATATTTAAATCTCATGTACATTTGGTTAATGGCTCATACATTTAGTTACTGCTCTGTGACCAACTTGCCAATATCATGGAAGTCTTGTCATTCGTACATATTTCACTGTCTTTGACTTTAATGGCACCCTTGTATTCTATTACATGAAATGTATGCATTCTGTAACGTACTTAATCAGTTTTGCTGAATAATAGGTGATTTATTTATGTACCAGGTTGTAATTTTATGTAAGAAGACATAACTGTATCATTTCTGGTTTTTTGAGTCATACTCTGATGGGTAAATTGTACTTAATTTCTTTTTCTAGTTGTCTGATTTGTTTCCTTGGGATAAATTCCAAGAGGAAGATAACTAGGCCCGAGTCCATCTGTGCAGAAGTGTTGATTTTCCTATGACCTCACCAGCACTTGTCTTTGTGTTTCCTCTTAATTTATGGCAGACTTCTATGGAAGAAATTGAGGATGACTTATTTCCTGTGCTTTTCTTCCTGACTCTGTGTGTTTATTTTGCTCCCTTTCCTATTGGGAATAGTATGATGATTTAAAAAAACTTAGTAATTCACTTTATTTTAGAAAGGAATAAATAATTTACTATGTAAGCAAAATAAAATTCCCATGTTCTGTCTGTTTTCATAAGTTGTGGAAGCATTTTTCTTGAATGATACAACTGAGCAGTATTTAGAAGTTGAACTTTGTCCGTAAGTATAAACTGTTTTTCTTAACTATTACTACATGATTTGAACATATTTGTTTTCTAGTTATGAATAGTATGGCTGTGGTAAAGTTCACTAAGTTCAGCTAAGTAGAAGTCATATTAACTGGAGTAAATTTTAAATCTATTTAGTGTTTTGTACAATGCATATTTTTAGAATTTATGTTTAGAATATATATCTCGTACATGTTTGAGTATATTATGTTGATGTGATTTTTTTGGTTTACTGATATAAATGATTTTGTAATAAACTTGATAATTTCTTTTACAAAGTGGAAAAAATTACTGTCAACAAATCATTACTTTATATGTTTGCACTATTATATATTAAGTGCTTAGAAGTAAAGGAAGATTTCCAATCCCTAATCAAGATATTATCTATCTCCAGTTCACAACCACTTGCAAAGGAAAAATTAGTTTTCTTCAATGGAATTTCACTGGGCACACAAACTACTCTTAAGGACAGTCTCCATGCTCAGCAGTAAATGGCTGACACAAAACAAATTCAATGGTATTTTTGTAGACTTTTTTTTTTGTCTCCTATTGCTTTTGTTTGTTTTTTGTTTTTTGTTTTTGTTTTTCGAGACAGAGTTTCTCTGTGTAGCTTTGCTCCTTTCCTGGGTCTCGCTCTGTAGACCAGGCTGGCCTAGAACTCACAAAGATCCGCCTGCCTCTGCCTCTGCCTCCCAAGTGCTGGGATTAAAGGAGTGCACCACCACCACCTGGCTCCTATTGCTTTTTTTTGGGCATTAAAAAAAAAAAATCTTACAGCTGGGTGGTGGTGGTGGTGGTGGTGGTGGTGGTACATGCCTTTAATCCCCTCACTCAGGAGGCAGAGCCAGGTAGAGCTCTGTCAGTTCAAGGCCAGTCTGGTCTACAAAGTGAGTTCCAAGACAGGCTCCAAAGCTACACAGAGAAATCCTGTCTCAACTCCCCCCCCCCCCCCCCCCCCCCCCGCCACCGCAAATCTTACTGATCTTTTGCTTGTATCTTATGGTTTCCAATTTTGTGTTTTTATGGGTTTTGTTTTTGTTTGTATGTGTGTCTCTGAGTGTGTGTGTGTTTGAGTGCTTGCTAGTGCACGAACATGCATTTATTCTAGTTTGTTTTTTTATTTGCCTGTTTGTTTTCTAAAGAAAGAGAGAAGGAAGGTGTGGAGTTAGATGGGTGGGGAATGGGGTGAATCTACCAGGAGATAGAGAAGAAACTGTAATTAGAATATATTGTATGAAAAACTTTATTTCATTTAAAAATGAGATACATAAGGAGATAATGAATTACTATCTTACAGAAATTTCTTTTAGATTCTTGAATGATTAAACTTTAATCTTATGTATTATATAATTGTGTATTCATTATTTATTCATTTAGTCATTCATTCTTTTGAGCACAGTGTATCATTTTTGCATTTAATGCCAAGAATATAATTTAAATTATACCTGAATTTTCCAAGACTCACAGTAAAAATATTACCTTTGAACTTTTTTTTTTTTTTGTCTTCAGACAGATTTGCACTGTATAGCTCTTGCCTGTCTAGAACTCTTAGGGATTAAATGTGTGGGCCACTACACCCAGATGTCCTGGAATTTCTTTGTTTGACCTTCAATATTTACTTGGGAATTTTGTTTACGTGGTGACAAACTTTATTTCTGGGTAGATGTAAAAAAAGGAAACATATGCTCACCTGTTATCTAAATTATATCATGCTTTTAATACACGAGATGTTTGTATAGATTGCTATTATTTGTTTAAGATGTCACTTAAGTGTTTCTCAGTAATTGTGTCCAATAGTCTTTGTTCCTTTGTAGACTGACAAGGGAACCCCAATGAATCCACACGAAACTTTAGATCCCCACTTGTTAGTTGTTTGCTTTTTGTTTTGTTTTGCCTTTTGCAAACTCTAACATGGAAAATGCAGTTATTTGCAATTTGTTTTTGTTTTATTTTGCTTTGTGAGACAGGGTCTAACTATGCCACCCTGGCAAGCATGGAATGCACAAAAATCACCTGCCTCTGCCTTAAAGTGTTGGGATTGAAGATGTACACTACCACACAAGACCTGCTATTATTTTTAAAATCAGAATAATTGGATATGTTTTCATGTTATCTTCCAACTAGCATGGCAACACATTTTATTTAAAGTTATGATTAGCTTTTATAAACTGTTATGAAAAGTAGGAACATTTTAACTATCATGTGCTGACTTTTGTCCTACAGCTGTGAGAGAAGGCTAAGACAAATAGTTCTAATTTGACTAAGACAATGAAGAACTTAGATTTACCCAAACTCTCAAATTTAATCTTAGATTTTTTTATTTTTCTTACATTTTAAAAAAGCACTTACTCATTTATTTTAGACATGTGTATTATGTGTTTATGTGTATATGTGAGGTCAGAGGACAATATGCAGGGGTAACTTTTCTCTTTCTACCATGTGGGTTCTTGGAATTGAACTTAGAACATCAGACTTGGCAACAATCTCCTCTGCCTGCTGAGCCATCTCGCTGGCCTCTATAGTTTTCTTTTATTAGATTGTATTAGATTATTTTCATGAAGTGACTATCTAACATTGAATGCATAAAAAATAGTTTTTCATTAAGAAACTACACGGTAGTCATTGTGTATAAAAGTTTTTAAAATTAAGATCCTCAGGGTAGTTTGCTTTCGTATACATCAGGATAGTTAATAATCAAGAATCATGGTTTTGCCTCAGGCAGTCAATTCCTGTACTGGTTAATTAACAGCTATAAAAGTAGCAAGAAGAACATTGTTTTAATTTGCAAGAAGTTTTACACATCCTAGGATCTTCCTAAAGCCCCATAAAAACAGTAAAATTAATCAGAGGATTTTTAAATGGAAGGGATTACTTGTCTTCTGTTAGAGCACTTCATTGCAGAAATCCTCCCTCCAAAAGCTCACAAAGGACCATCTGGGTGGAAATGTTTGCTAGACTTCCAGAGGCAGAAAATTTACTTCATGTAAATACACGCAATCCATTGCTTCTTACAGACTCCAATAATCCCACTTATTCATTCCCATTAGAATTTCCTTTGGAGATGTGACATTGGTGCCTGAACAAATGGTAGAAAGCTGGAAAACAGATGGCAGACTGTTCAAGGTTAGCAGTGTGGAAAAAACAGCTATAGGTTAAAATCTGCCTTGTTGACTAGTTTTGGTCAATCTATATTTTACATTTTCTACCTTCCCTAATGGGCCTCAAGGAAGTTTCATACAGAAATAACTGTTAGTGAAGCTGTTAGATTAAAACTTGGAAATCAGCTCTAGATTTCCTTGGAGTGCTTTAGTTGTTGCAGCTGTTTTTATTTTCAACTCTAAAGTGTCATGATTATCTCTTTTTTCATACACTGTGTTATCTAACCAAATGAAGTATTTTATATAATTTCCTATTTAAAGAATATGAAAAGCCGGGGCCAGTGAGATTGCTCAGTGGGTAAAGAATATGAAAAGTAGCATTAGCCAGTGTAATGTTAGGATTTGTCAGCAGTTGTTTGGCAAACAGTTATTCCAGAGCTGCCATTTCTAAATAATGTGACACATTGGCTCTCCCTATAGTTATCCAATATTCTACTGCACTTTTTATTTCTTTGGAAATTTAGCTACAAGCACACACATGACAGATAGAAAAGAAAGTAAAGATGAAGATAATATTGTTTTTCTTGTAACAGACCAAAGAAATGATCTCTGAAAAAATAGACTTAATATTGTTCTTCTTTAACACTCATGAGGAATCTTCATTTTGGCAGACATGGACAGCACTTAGTTCTTTTTTTTTTTTTTTTTTTTTTTTTGGTTTTTTCGAGACAGGGTTTCTCTGTGTAGCTTTGCGCCTTTCCTGGAGCTCACTTGGTAGCCCAGGCTGGCCTCGAACTCACAAAGATCCGCCTGCCTCTGCCTCCTGAGTGCTGGGATTAAAGGCGTGCGCCACCACGCCCGGCCGGACAGCACTTAGTTCTTTTACTCTCTGGAAGAAGAAATGTTTGGAAAGTGAGTAGACAACCATATGAAACCAAATCCCATAATGCACAGCAGGTGTACCTCTAAGTTTGAACTTATCTTTTGTGTTTCTCATAGAAAGAGCTCACGTTATCATTCAAAGTGTTCAGGAGAGAGACAAACTGGGAAGGCATAGCTTTTCTTCCTTGGAGTTATTTTCCACCAAAGGTGACAAAATTCAACTCATTTGCAATTCATGGATCAAATGACAGAAGAAGTTACGAGGCCCTTTACCCTGTGCCACAGCATGAACTGCAACAAGGCCAAAAACCTGATTTGTAAGTAGAAAATAAGTGGAGGTGCACTCCAATGACAGAAGTTCAGGAATTAGTTTTGTTTTGTTTTTTGAAACAGGGTTTTCTGTGTGTCCTTAGCTGTCATGGAACTTGTCTATAGACCAGGCTGGCCTCAGAACTCTGAAATCCACCTGCCTCTGCCTCCTGAGTACTGGAATTAAAGGCCACCACCCCCTGGTGGGAAGTTCTTAGTAGAGCAGAAGAGCACTTGGTGGTTGATGATGACGTATGTGGGAGTACATAGGAAGGGCCCTGTGTTCCCTCATGACCCTCAACTTTTAACCAAGATAGATCGTCTCATTACTTTCAGCAAAGCACTTAGTCTTTTGTGATTATATAGTAAGAGTATTAATGAGTGTACATCAACTGATACTGATAAGGCTTCAAATTAATTTATGATCCTTTCCCTGTTATAATAGCCAGAGGAATCTGTGTTTTGTGGTGTGGATAGAGGGGTTATGAACTCTTTTCTTTGTTACTAAAGAACTTGTACTTAGTCGTGTCTCTGTTCTCTTGGTTGCCTCATTAGAATAAGAGCGTCAACTATGCTTCTAGGCAACCATGTTTGTGATAAAATGACTGACTCCTTAATTGATAAATGACATCTGCATTAACTAATTCTGATTGACCTATAAATATATGCTGGAGACACTGTGGTTTAGGGATTCCTCTTTAACAGATATGTTATAGGTAGGGATTGTCAGCAGAGGTCGAGGCTCCTGCGAGGCAGCAGATATTTAAGCCAAAGTACCTTCACCACTTGTCCCATTTTAGTCTCCTGGCATCTGAACCTGTCATCTAGGAAGAACATAGCTCTTAGTGAGCCTCCTGCATGCTTCATGCATTGCTGCAAGGACTAGTCACTTAAGGAGGAAACTCAGTGCTCACCTAGGGCAAACTTTGGTGCCTGCTGTCTGTCTCTTAGTGTACTCAGTGTGGTCAGCACTGCAGAGTCTGGATGTTCAGCAGAGCCTAGCAAAGTCATCCTGGTGGGCAGCACCATGCTTGCTAGACATTCCTGCCTTTTTACCCTTAGGATATGACACCATCTTTCTTCTTCACATTTAACTTGTCTTGCTTTTACTTGACTCACTTTTCCCTTCATTTCTTCTAGAAGATGCCTGTATTCTGCTTGACACACTTAAACATCTACTTTTGCCTTTTTCCCCAGTCCTGACTCTTTCTGCCTAGCTCTTTCTCTTTTTCTGTGCCTCTTCCTTCAAGGTTGATCCTTCACATCTTACTCGGGGGTTCATTGATGTAACTCCAAACTGGTTCATCCTGGCCAAATGCGCAGAAAGGAATAGAAATCTAGGTGCCACTGACTGAGAGCCATCATACCAAGGCGATGTGCCACTCTGGCTTTTCACTTGCTAGTACCTTCCCAGGGAAGAATGAGTGCACATTAGCCAGCGGAGATGCACGGTAGAGCAATTTCCTAGAGCTCAGAGCTTTACTGAAGCATAGATAAAGCCTTTCTTTGCTCATTAAGCCACAAGAGAACACTTTAGGATAATAATGGCTTTTCTAGAAAGAAAACAAGATTATCACTCTTCTATGTTAGCCTCCTTTACATTGGCAAAGGGAGAATACACATCTGTCTCTGTCCTTTATTTACCAGAACTTATCAAAGTTTGAATATAAGAACATGTTCAAGAACTTATGTTGTAGAATATTATTTTAAGGTGTGTTACTTTTGTTTATATTGCATTTGTTTAACTCCATGAAGCTGGGTTAGTTTGCCTATCTAAAACACCTGATGGTCTAATTAAGGACTGAGTGGCCAATAGCGAGGCAGGAGAGAGAAATAGGTGGAGCCGGCAGGCAGAGAGAATAAATAGAAGGAGAAATCTGGGAAGAAGAAAGAGCAAGAGAACAAGGAGAGGAGGACATCAGGGGCCAGCCACCCAGCCACACAGCCAGTCATGGAGTAGGAGTGAAAGTAAGATATACAGAAGAAAGAAAAGGAAAAGGCCCAGAGGAAAAAGGTAGATGGGATAATTTAAGTTAAGAAAAGCTAGTAAGAAACAAGCCAAGCTAAGGCTGGGCATTTATAATTAAGAATAAGCCTCTGTATGTGGTTTATTTAGTGGGCACCCCTAAAGGGCAAAAACAAACAACTACAAACTTATGATTGGTTTACATCTAAAATGAGTTAGACGTGTGTGTGTGTGTGTGTGTGTGTGTGTGTGTGTGTGTGTGTGTGTATGTGTATAGATGTAATGGTCTTAGTAAATAAGAAACACAGAGCCAAATGCAGAGTTAAAAGCCCAAGAGGTCAGAGCAGTAGCTAAGAGCTGAGACTAAACCCGCCTTCTTACCACCCACTGCCGCTGCCATCCTTCCCCTTACTTTTCCCTTCATTCCTGCCTGGCTTCTGCTATGGCTTGCTATTAGCTCTGACCCCCAGGCAACTTTATTTATTAACATACAAATAAAATCACATTTCAGCACAAATGAAATATTACTGTGTGTGTGTGTGTGTGTGTGTGTGTGTGTGTGTGTGTGCATGTGTGCGCACTTGTACACATGCAGATAGAGTCCCAAAGATACCTTCATGTATGGTTCTTCTGGAATACTGCCCACATCATTTGAGACAGGGTCTCTCATTGGCCTGGAGCTTACCAACAAGAGCAGGCTGGTTGGCCAGTGAGCCGAAGGGATCATTCTATTTCTACCTTCCCCAAACTGGGATTACAAGCGAGGACTGCTACACCTGGCATTTTTTTTTTAATTTATTTTTTAAATTACACTCATCACTCATGATATTTATTACTTACACTCCTGATATTAATCATATTTGTGGTATTCATAGATTACATTCGCAGTATTCATTGAATTATATATATATGTATGTATGTATATGTATGTGTGTGTATCTATATATATATATATTTATATATTAATTTTAAATGTCAAATGTCATTTCTTGAAGGGGATAAGAGGTTAAATACAGGCTTACAGCACAATGGGAGGACCCCGGAGGGCAGAAGTTCGCTACTGATGTTTTACAATCTTGCATCTAAGCTGTTAATGCCCATTATTCAGGATACACAGACAAGGAACTTCCCTTAAGCATTCAGGAGGGTGGAATCTGGCAGGGAATTAGTATTGGGAGGATATCAAGGTCAAAGTCCACAAGCAAGGCAACAGTTACCCAAAATGGGGGCCAGGGCCCCGCAGGTCCCCCTTTTATTAAAAAATGAGCTTCTGACTTGGGTTGCGTGGGATGTCAGCAGGTCACCTTACCCGGCATGGAGACGCCTGCCCAGGCCACACAGGTGCTCTGTCTTAGGTTGGTGAGTGCCCCCCAGGCATTACCCGTCTCTGAATACTCATTATCTTACCAGTTCAATCATGTGTGAGCTGCATGGTTAATTGCTGCCAAAGATCTCAAAGTGACACTGGGCTTGCAATCTGTGTGTTCGATACAGAAAAGACCAACAGAGGTCCTATCTTATCCATAGCCAGTAGGCTAAAGGCAACTGATCCATTCCCTTCCTTAATGAGCCATACTGTACGTTGGAGTCCTTGTAAGATAGTATCCCAAAAGCAACTGGAACTTGAGTTTATAAGTTTATAATTTTAAAAGCCAATCGAGATATATATAACTACTGAATTAAATTTATCATGCCCAGTAGAATGAAAGATTAACTAACTGTGGTAGCTACTTTTGTTGCCAGGGTCTCCACTGTGCTAGCTGTAGTAAGCAATTATGAAATGGTAATCCCAGAAATAGTAGCAGCGGTGTGTGCCATTGTTATAACAGCAACAGCTACACCTGGCATTTTTATGTGTGTTGTGATGATTGAATTCATGTTTCCTTAGCAGACACTTTGCTGAGCCCCATGAGAGCTGATATTTACCTTTCCCTGAGCCGTGAGGGATCTATGTGTAGAACTGAAAAAGACTGCTTTGAAATATGGGTGAATTTTTTCAGAATGGAGTATTTGATAGCTACAATGAGAAAATTGTACATAGAGAATACATTTACCAATTGTTATTCCTTAAAATGAAATGTTGTACTATCACCAATGTGGCAAAACAAATAGCTCTATAGGACCACCATTTCACAAATGCATAATTCAATTTCTTCCTTTCCTTACTTTTAGCCATCGTCTAGAATATTTCGAGCCTTTCAATTTTAACACACTGCTTGGAGAAGAATGGAAGCAGCCAGAGTCAGGCTTGTGGCTAATAGAGAGACCTGATATGTCGGAGTAGATAAGCAACTATGTCAATCATTTCTCCTCTGTACTTCTTAAGGTAATCTAATAAGATACATAAACACATTTCAACAACGAACATTTTAGCAGAGGTCACTGAAATGTAGTATCTCTGTGGCAAACTGTATATTTAACAAAGAAATAGAAACTATGTGTAACATAAAATAATTTTTACTTAAATATCCTGTCCATCCTTGAAACTAGCAGAAAACAATTTATTTCAGTTGATGAGACAGTCTATATCTGCTCAGATATCAAGATAGAAGAGTTATTTAACTAGCTATATTTACTGTGTAGGAAGAAATGAGATAGTCTTGATCTGGAAATAGAGTTGATTTTTCTTTTTTTTTTTTTTTCCAAGACAGGGTTTCTCTGTGTAGTTTTTGTGTCTGTCCTGGATCTCGCTCTGTAGACCAGGCTGGCCTCAAACTCACAGAGATCCATCTGGCTCTGCCTCCCGAGTGCTGGGATTAAAGGCATGAGCCACCACCACCCGGCAAGTGACATTTTCTTAATGCTTTTAAGCAAGATTTCAGGGACCTTCATTTGATTTTTGAAGCATCAAACATTCCTAGTTGAAGATAGACCCCAATATAATAAAGCAATACCCTCCTCTCACATAAATGGATCATGCAGACACACAGCTGCAGTGTTCCACCAGCAGCTGCAGAATGAACTTTATTTTCAGGGACTCGTGGAACACTTTCCAGAATAAGACCAGTAACATGTTTGTTGCAATTCAGATGGCTGTAGCTGCTTGGGTTTATTTATACCAGAAGACTTTTAGATCTGATAGACAGTTCAGCCAAGTGGCACACAACACAGTCAGCATACATGCAAAAATAATAGCTTTTCCACACATCAATAACCAACCACTGAGGAGGAAATCAGGAAAGCATTCCCATTCACAGCAAAAAGAATATCTAGGAACAAGCCTTGTGCATTAGTTACTTTTCTTATTGTAGTTACAAGAAAATTAACAAAAGCAACTCAGTGAAGGAAGGTTTTATATTGGCTCACAGTGTGAGGATACAGTCCATCGTGATGAGGATAACATGACAGCAAGAATATGAGGTGGCTGGTCACATGGTATCTACAGTCAGAAAGCAGAGATGAGTGGTGATGTTCAGCTCACTCTCTTATTTTCATTCAGCCCTGGACCCTCGCCCATGGAGTGACACACCCTCATTCTGGGTGTGTTTTCCATTATCAAACCTCTTTGAAAACACACTCACAGACATAGTCAGGAGTGCAGCTCCTAGGTGAGTCTACCTGCAGTTCAGCTGACAGTAAAGATTAGTCATCATATCTTGCTGAGGTGGTGAAAGGCTTTTATAATGAAAGTTACAGAACACTGGAGAAAGAAATTGAAGAAGACACTAGAAGATGAAAAGACGTTCCATGTTCTTGTATTCACAGATTTAGTATCGGGGAAATGGCCATATGAAGACAAGCTACCTTTTTGGAACCCACTACCTATGGTGGGACACATTGCACAGACTTAATGCAGGGGGAAGTGCTTGGACCTGCCTCAACTGAATGTACCAGGCTCTGCTGATTCCACATGAGAAGCCTTACCTTTTTGGAGGAAGGAGTAGGGGTGGGTTGGAGGGGGAATGTTGGGGGGGCGGGGCAAGAGGAGGGAAGAGAGGGGGATCTGTGGTTGGTATGTAAAATGAATAAAAAATTTCTTAATAGAAAAAAAGAAAACAAGCTACCTAGAAGTTCATTTGGTCATATTCAAAATTTGAATGCCATTCTTCAGACAACTCGAACAATACCCTAAGATGTGTATGGAAACACAAAAAACCTATAATAGGCAAAGATGTCCTAAGTAAAGATCATTATTGGTATGGTGATATTTTAATTGTACTGAAATGTGATTTTACTTGTATGTTAATAAATAAAATTGCCTGGGGGTGAGAGCTAATAGCAAGCCATAGCAGAGCTGGGTGGTCACGGCGCATGCCTTTAATCCCAGCACTTGGTAGGCAGAGCTAGGTAGATCTGTGTGGTCAAGGATACAGCCAGCATTGGAGACACACGCCTTTAATCTCAATACCATAGAAGACCTGGAGGGCTGTACATACAGGCAGTGACGAGGCAGTCATGTGGTTGGGTTTACAACCAATGAGAAGGCAGAACAGAAAGTCTATATAAAGACAGACAGGAAGTAGGTCTCTTTTGGAGAGGTCTCTTGGCTGAAGAGGCTAGCTACAGCAGACAGGTAAGCTCTTAGCTCTGATCTCTTGGCTTTCTTCTTTGCATTGGTTCTGTTTCTTATTTAATAAGACGGTTGGTTACATCTACATATTGGAAGTCTACCAATATCTAATTTCAAGTTATACTATAGAATTGTTGTAATAAATGGGACTAGCACAAAAGCAAGCAATAGACCATGGATTAGACCAGAGAATCTCCAAATTATCCTACACAGCCATAGCTACCTAAGTTTTGGCAAAGGAATAAAAAACATGAGAAAAAGTTTCCTAAAGTGTTGCTGGGAAAATAGGATATTTGCACATAGAAGACGAAAGCTAGATCCCCATGTCCCACCCTGTACATAAATCAGCTCTAAGACTTTAATGTAAGATCTGAAACATTGAAACTGATAGAAGAAAACATAAGGAAAATACTTCAAGATGTAAATATAGGCAGTAACTTCAGGAATACACTCCATTGTCTCTGGAAATAAAAGAATCAACAAATTGGATTTCATCAAATTAAAGATCTGCACAGGAAAGGAGATAATAAAGTGAAGAGACAGTCTACAGCAGGGGAGAAAATCTTGGCTAGCTACTCTTCCTCAGAGGCTTACTATCCAGCATATGTAAAGAACTCAGACAAAACACCAAAGCTAGGCTCAATCAGTAAGGGAGCAGATCATCTACACAGTTCTCAAAAGAATTTGTACAGCTAGTGATTATAAAAAAAACGCAATGTCTTTAAGTATTAGGAAAATGCAAGCTAAAACTGCTTTGAGATTTCATCTTATCCCAGTAAAATGGCTATCCTCAAGAAAGTAACAAACTTTGGTGAAGGTGAGGAGGAGAAGCAACCCTTGTTCACTAATCATGGGAATCTATAGTAGCACTGTCAACTGTGGAAATCAGTATGGAGATTCCTCAGAAACACTAAAAAATAGAGCTACCATATGATCCAGCTCTCCTAGTTCTAAGTATATTCCCCAGGGGAATCTGAATCGGCATAATGCAGAGACACCTGCATAGCTGTGTTCATCATAAGATGCAAGCTATGGCATCAGTCTGGGTGTCTGTCTACTGATGAATGGATAAAGAAACACACACACACACACACACACACACACACACACACACACACACACACAAAACAGAACTGACATACCATTGAGCCATAACAAGAACAAAATTATGTTATCTTCAGGAAGATGGAAGTAAATTAAGTCAGACTCTGAAAGATGAGTAGCTCATGTTTTTTGTTTTGTTGTTGTTTTTCGAGACAGGATTTCTCTGTGTAGCTTTGTGCCTTTCCTGGAACTCACTCTGTAGCCCAGGCTGGGTTCAAACTCAGAGATCTGCCTGCCTCTGCCTCCTGAGTGCTGGGATTAAAGGCGTGTGCCAACACTGCCCAGCTAGTAGCTCATGTTTTTCCTCATATATGAAAGTTAAAGAAAACAAAACATCTGGATATAATACAGGAGATTTTTTAGGAAAGTGGAAGAGGATTTGAGGAGAAGGGAGGGATGTGGAAAAAGATGTGGTGGGGAATAAAAATGTCCACAGTTGTATATATGTATGTGTCTGCCAAAGTAAAATCCACTATTCTGTGTAATTTATATACAAATTAAATGTCTAGAACTCTCAAACTTTGTACTGTGTTTCAGAGCTTGCCTTCTAATAGATCTGTGAACTTCTGCATCATTCTTAGTCCTTCTCAACATTATTATCTCAGAGGCCAGGCTCAGAGAAGGTAAAGTTTATCACTTACACGGACACTTTCTTGTCTAGTCAACAGTATGGTTTCCCCATCTCTTCTCCCCTTTAAAAAAGATTATTTATTTGTGTGTTTGTTTGTTGTTACTGTATATGCATGCAGAAGACCAGGAGGCCAGAAGAGGCCCTGGGATTCCCACAGCTGCAGTTACAAGCAGTTGTGAGCTGCCTGATGAACATGGGTGTTGATAATTGATCTTGAGTCCTTTACAAGAGCAGCAAGTGTTCTTAACTACTTTTCCATCCCTCCAACCGCTCCCATCTTCTTTAATAACAGAAGTTGGATTTTTAGAAGCTTTACTTAGAAATGTTGTTTCCACAAAAACAAAACATCCCCTCATTGTTCCAGTGTCTTTTGCAGGTAGACATGGCCATGGAATGGTTTGTGTCAATGAGATGTACAGTCATGTGCTGTATAACAATATTTTGATGAGTAGCAGACTGCTGGTGCTACTTCCAAAAAGTTCTAATTGAGCTGAGATGTGATGTCTTCTAGTGATAACATAGCCATTGTAATATTATGGTACAATATACTATAGGTCTGTGGTGATGTTTATACGAAGAGGCCTACTAAACTGCTGGTTGTATCAAAATACAACAACACGGTTGTGTATAGCACAAAATGCTTGATAATGATGATAAATGACTGTGTGAACTTGTTCATGCATTTAGTATCTTGTATGATCATACTTTATGATCATTTGGAACATATTCCTTCTTATTAAATTTTCTATGGTAGAATAATATGCTTTGTTATGCTAGCAACAGCTTTAAGCAGCTCTTTTTTGGGCATTTTTTGATAGCATCAATAGGTCATATAAAGTGATACTGAGTTTATATAAGTGTACACTATAAACTTGCACTTGAGACAAAAATCAAATATAGACATGTCTCTGAGAAAATGCCCATGCTATTAAGTGACATGAGGCTGTATTTAGTCTTAAGTGGGGCTTGAAGGCAGTTATTTCAATCTGGGGGTATACCTCAGTGATATATAGCTAGTCTTGTGCAAGACCCTCATTTCAGTCCCCAGCATGGTGAAAAGAAAAATATTGAAAAAAGAGTTTTTCTTTTTTTTCTTTCATTTTTCTTTATTAAGAAATTTTCTACTCACTCCACATACTATCCACAAATCCCCCCTCCTCCCTCCTCCTACCCCCAGCCCTCTTTCCCAAGCCACCCTGCATCCCCACATCCCCCAAATTGAGTTCTCCCATGGGGAGTCAGCAGAGCCCAGCACACTGAGCGTAGGCAGGTCCAAGCCCCTTCCCACTGCATCAAGGCTGTGCAAGGTGTCACACCACAGGCACTGGGTTCCCAGAAGCCTGCCCATGCATCAGGGACCGACCCTGATCTCCCTGTCTGGGTGCCCCCCCAAACAGTTCCAGCCTAGCAAATAACCTAGCTGTCATCATAGAGCCTTTGTCCAGTGACTGATGGAGGCGGAAACAGAGATCCACGGCCAGGGACCAGACTGAGCTCCGGGAATCCAATTGATGACAGAGAGGAGAGATACTGCAGGCGAGGGACATGGAGATCATGATGGAAGGACGTGCAGAGATGACTGGCCACACTAGTGGAAGCCCATGAACTGTGGACTGGTGGCTGTGGAGCCCCCATGGGACTGGACTAGGCCCTCGGGATACGGAAGACAGTTGTTCGGCTCGAAGAGAGTTTTTCTAAAAGCTAAGTCAGTACTCTATCCTATGACCTTACACAGCATCTGGAACACTATGGAGACAACCCAGGAGGAGTTTAGTCAGAAGACAGAGGAAGCACAGCAGTGTTATGTGTTATAGCTGGACTGCCTACCAGCAGACTTGCTACATGGAGAATAAAAAGAATAAATGTTTACCATATTTAGTCAAATGAAATCCCTAACTTCCAGTCGAAAATGTAAGTTGGGTTCTCTTCCTAAAGTCACATACAGTTTCACTTAATATCTCTCATTTAACATTGTATGAAACATTCTAGCCAGTTCCATGAAGGGAAGAAATAGGAATAAAAGACAGGTGTTATAAGGAAATGAGTTAAAATACTTTCAGATGTATTGTTTATATTTTAAATGATTATACTTTAAGACCTGGGGATGCAGCTCAGTGGTAGAACACTTATCCATCATGTCAGAAAGCTCTGGGTTTAATTTCTAGCCTGATAATAATATATAATAAACAATCAAATCAGTGGCTGGAGGGACAACTCAATAGTTAAGAGCACTCACTGTTCTTGCAGAGGACCCAGGTTCAGCTCCCAGCACCCACACGGTGGCTCACACCATCTGTAACTTCAGTTCCAGGTGATCTGATGCCTTTTTCTGGCCTCTGAGAGTACCAGGTACACACATGGTACACACATATATATGTGAAGGCAAAGCATTCATACACAAAATATTAGTGCAAAAAATGATTATAGTTTATAGAAAACTGAGGTGTTTACAACAGATTTCTATAAGTGAAAGTGAATTTAGCCAAGTTGTATCAACACATAGTCAATGTATGAGTATATATTGTATTTCTGTTTATTATAAACAGTTCAGAGTTGAAAACTGCTTATCACAGAATCAAAACCTGAAAAAAACAAGACTATGTACAGAACCTCTATACTGATTAGAATCAATATTA